CCTTATACTTGGTGATTTCAATATCCCAATCAACAACCCCAACTGCACTGACGCCTCTTGTCTGCTCTCTGTAACCTCCTCCTTTGGCCTTGCGCAATGGTCCAATTTAGCAACCTCTCCTTTAACCCATCTCAAACCTCACCTGTCCTAGCTCTGCAACCTCCTTCTACAATTACACCCTCTCCCCTCAACTAGACATTATGGCACCTCCTACATTTAAATGCTGCAAGCGCCCCCAACAACATCCCTGGCACACCAAGCTGACTCGATATCTCCAAAAAATGCTCCAGAACTGCTGAACGCTGTTGGAGAAAGTCTCCCTGTGCATCTGACTTTCTCCACTATAAATTTATGCTGCGCTCACTCCAGCTAAGGACTGTCCTCCCCCTGGTCTCTCTTGGTCAGCTACACAGTCAGCCAGACATACAGTGTACATTTTGCATAGAGAAGTGCAGGGGTGAGGGGACTATCACTTACAAGCAGTGTAATGGAACGGAGCGGTAACTCTGTGGACAATCGATCCTGACTGTCTTTATCTTCTATGACCTGCCATCACTCCTTTCATAAATAACACTGTCTTTCTTCGGTGTAGGTCTAGATTTTTTGGCAGCGCTATACTTTGCTTATCAGATCAATGCTAAATTGGATTTTCATGTGTTATCTTTATTTTTTTGAATTTTTTTTTCACACTAAGTTTAGGCTTATCTGTCAGACCTCAGCAGCAATATCTCTCTGAATGCCATCTGCTGAGTGTACCTACTGTTAACTAACTCTAGCTTCCCTTAGCTTGTAATCTACCTTGCTTAATAAAAAACCAAAAAAAAAAAAAAAAAAACATGCAGAATACTCCTATGCCTTGTAACTTGTAAATTTCCAATTAACTGCCTGATCAGTGCTGTTGGGGCATTGAAAGATGATATGTAAAACATGTGCACACAAAAATAATTATAAAAAAAATTTATGCTGCGCTCAAACAGCTTGGCTCTGTCCTCTGCAAAACTAAATTACTTCAATACCCTCATAACCACACTCTCCGTCAAACCCAAACCACTATTTAACGCTCTTTTTCGCCCTATTGTTCCTCCTCCACCTACTAACTTGAATGCCGCAGACTTTGCAACTCACTTCACTGACAAGATCTCTACAATCAGGGAAGAAATCTTTCATCTTTCTTCTTCCCCTTTACAATACTTCCCCTAACCTCATTCCCTCTCTGTTCTATGTTCATTCGCACCTGCTACAGCGGAAGAGGTTTCTGCTCTGCTCCGGTCCTCCTGCCCCACCACCTGCTCCCTATATCCAATTCCCTCGCATCTCATCCGTACTCTGTCTTCTTCTCTTGCTTTGCCTCTCACTAAAATTCTCAATCTCTCTCTCCTCTGGCATATTTCCATCGCCCTTCAAACATGCAACTATAACCCCAATTCTAAAGAAGCCAAACCTTGATCCTAACTCCCCGTCTTATCTTGCTACTGCCTTTTGCATCCAAGATCCTTGAAAGAGTTGTGTATGCGTGATTGCCAGACTTCCTTGAGTCCAACTCTCTTCTAGACCCGCTTCAGTCTGGTTTCCTCGCTCAGCACTCTGTGGAAACGGCACTGACCAAAGTATCCAATGATCTACTTGCTGCAAAATCTTGTGGTCACTACTCTATCCTAATTCTTCTTGACCTTTCTGCGCCTTTTGACACTGTTGATCATCAACCGCTTCTTTCTCTGGCTCTGCTTCTTCTCCCCAGCTCCTCTCTGTTGGTGTCTCCAAGGGTCAGTCCTTGGTCCCCTACTGTTCTCCATCTATACTGCCTCCCTTGGTAAACTCATTAGCTCCTTTTGGCTTCCATTATCATTTTTATGCTGATGACACGCAAATCTGTCTGTCCTCTCCTGATCTCTCCCCGTCCCTCTTGACTAGTGTCTCTGACTGCCCACTTCCTTAAACTGAAATTCTGGTCTTTCCTCCCTCAAGTGTTGCTACTCCTATGTCTGTATCCCTCCAAGTCAACGGTGCTAACATCAGATCCACCACGCAGACTCGCTTCCTAGGTGTTCTCTTTGACAACGACCTCTCCTTCACGCCTCATGTTCAGTTTATTGCCAAATTCTGCTGCTTACATCTCAAAAACATTGCGCGCATCCTACCCTACTTAACACCAGATGCAACTAAGGTGCTGGTCCATTCCACTGTCCTTTCACACCTTGACTACTGTAATCCGCTTCTCAGTGGTCTTACGTGCACCATTACAGTCCATAATGAATGAGGCGGCTCCTCTTCCTGTCCGCCTGCACCGCCCACACCTCACCCTTCTGTCAGTCCCTACATTGGCTTCATGTAAGATATAAGGCTCAATTTAAAATTCTGGTTCTTGCTTTCAAATCTCTACATAATGCTGCTCCCACCTATCTATCCTCCCTTATACACAAGTATGTCCCGTCTAGGCCCTTACGATCTGCTGAAGACTTATGTCTATCTTCTGTCCGTACTCCCACCTCTGATGCTCGGCTTCAAGATTTCTCGAGGGCTGCACCGTTCCTGTGGAACTCTCTTCCCTCCTCCGTTAGATGCTCACCCAGTCTCCACTCCTTCAAAAAATCGTTAAAAACCCACTTCTTTATAAAAGCGTATCAATTAAACTGTTAATAGCACCCGACTGATTCCTCTCTTGCAACTCTCATTAGTCTAATACTATCCTTATCTTTTGTGTCCCTTTACCCCACTCCCTCTAGCATGTAAGCTCATTGAGCAGGGCCCTCAACCCTTCTGTTCCTGTGTGTCCAACTTGTCTGGTTACAACTACATGTTTGTTTGTCCACCCACGGTGGAATTTGTTGGCGTTTTATAAATAACATAATAATCATATTGAGATCCAAGAAGAGAAGAAAATACACCTTATGATTCCGTACTGTTTGTGAGTGCAATATATATACCTTTATGGTTTTACGCTATGTATAGTATTCCATTTTTATAGGTACTGGTGTGCTTTATTTATTATCTCCCCACTCACCCCCATTCTCTTTTTTCAGTTTTACTGTTGGTGTTTCCTGTGATTTTTCTGTTTTGAATTGACCAACATTGCGGACTACTTGGTAAATAAATTAGCAAACACATGCTTCTTTATTGAGTGATATGGTTGTTTGTCTGGGAACATGACTAATTCCTTGTTGCAAAGTCCTGGCCGTGTTTGGGTTAGGTGACATTTAACACCTTCTTGGGCTTGCGGTCCTGGAATTCGAATCACAGAAGGCTGGTAGTTGGTCCAGAAAAGCTGCGAGTCCTGAAATTCTACTCATTCCTGGGTATTTTCTCATGCGGCAAACCGGAACAGGTGGACACCTCCATGCAAGGAGGGGGGAGGGTGGGGTGGGTGTTCTACAAACCCTAAATCATTCAGCACCCCTGTCAGGACAGTGTGTAGCCCAACCCTAAAACATAGCTTAACCTCTCTTGTTCGGGAATCTGTTAATTCAAATACCATCTTCCCTTATCACCGTGCAGCATACCATAACTACTTTTATTATCAATAGGAAGTTTACATTCACCGTGATTGCTTCTTATCCCCTGCTGCTTCAGAACCAGGTTGACTCAAAAATATACTCTGATTTAAGGAACACTTTTTTTTAAATAATTTTTTTTTTGTCTTCAACAAAAATCTTCTTAGCTACAAGACATTAATCAAATTTATTACAATATAATAATAATGGCAGTACATTCTACATAATACAGAACAATTTCAGATTCTGAATTTAAATTCTCTCGATGTTTGAATAATCTGTTTATGGTGCATTTTTATTCTGTATTTATATTCTGCATTGCTTATATAATTTGTGTCATACTTTTTTTTTTGTAATGTTTGTAATATTCTATATTTTACTACAAATGGTAATATGCAAAGAGGGCAATGTTTGTTGTGATAGCCATCTTATTTTCACATTGTTGAAGGTTGCAGCCTCGATGCTCGCAATCTTGCGCAAAGCTGAGTGTGCTATTCAGGTTCATTTGAAGGTAGGGATACACCGAAATTTTCAGCCGAAAATGAGCCTATCCCGTTTAGGCCGAAAACGGGTCAGATTTGCTGAAATAAATAAATAAAATATATATATATATATATATATATATATATATATATATATATATATATATATATATATATATATATATATATATATATATATACACACATACATACATACAGAAAATGGCCAGCACTCACGGTTTCAAGTAAAAGTTTAAAATTCAGAAATTTATTAGAACATCTTTAAAAATGTAGCAGCTCGACGTTTCAGTCCTCCTCCGGGACTTTCATCAGGAATACTAACCACATACATATCAATATATATATTTTTTTTTTTATATTTTTTTATTTTCGTAGTGCATAGTTTAACAGACATGCTTGCATTAACAATTCAGATGATTATATATCACAATGAAAGATCGTAATGATAACATGAAAAGTCAAGAATACTGCACTTGGGATGGGCAGGGGAGGAAAGAGGAAAGAACACTATGGGATACGGGGGGGGAGAACACTATGGGGAGGGGGCTGGTGAAAGAACACTATGGACGAGAGGGGAAGAAACACTATGGGATGGGGAAAACACTCATGGGATGGGAGAAAAGAACACCATGGGACGGAGGGGTGGAAAGAAACACCATGGGACGGGAGGGGTGGGAAAAGAGAAACACTATGGGACGGAGGGGTGGGAAAGAACACTATGGGAGGGGGGTGGAAAGAAACAATGGACGGGGTGGGAAAGAACACTATGGGACGGGGGAGAGGGAGGGAAAGAACACTATGGGACAGGGGGAGAGGGAGGGAAAAGAACACTATGGGACGGGGGGGAAAGAACATTAAGTGGGGGGGGGACCACTAAAAGAGAAGGGAAAAGGGAAGTTTTTCAAATTAGATTAAATTAATTTAAAAAGTCTAATATTAAACTTATAGGGAGAAAACCTTTTTTTAAATCCTTTGGGGAAAAGGTAATTTTTGGTTTTTGGCCAGGGGCATCATGAATTTTCGGTTTCGGCCCACAATTTTCATTTCGGTGCATCCCTATTTGAAGGTCCCCACATCGGAGAGGTGCACTTCATAAAATCAACAGGACAGTTATAGGGTTCCACGTGTGGCCGTGACGTGCTGTCACCTATGCCTTGGAGGTTTTTATCATGTTCGGTACCAAACAAATGTCTATTGCCTTTAACAAAAAACTTCTGATTTCAATCAATCATAACTAATAGAGCGACCAGCTTTCATCCTACTAAGGTTAATTAAAATATCCCATTACAATGACATCTAGAACCCGGGACTAGGAGACTAGAGTAACTAACCCTTCCTTAGTAACTTGCTGTATATTTATGTCAATCTGTACAGATTTTGGCTTTTGTACATTTACCCCATGACACAGTAAAAATGGAAGTGAATTTGATAGCTTGCGTGTAACTTTCTGGAGGAGGTTAATTGGGCCTATTTAAGCTCTTCATCCAAGCCTGCATAGCAAAGGATCTCCAACTGGGAACTTGGCCATAAATCAGCCAGTGAGCCACAGGATAGCATGTCCTGTCTCTCCCAGGTTATCGATAGCAGGTGTCACCAGCTGGCAGCAAGGCTCCGCAAGATGTATTGTGGGACGTAGTCTGCCTCTTGGGTTACAGGACCCCTTGGATAGACTAGTGAGCTATTAAGGAGAGATTGGCTTCTACGAAGAATCTCTGCAACATTTCTCATACCTGAACCAGAAAGGCATATACATGGACAGTTTCTTTCCTTAAATGGGAAACTCGAAAACCAGGGGCAGATGAACTCTCTGTATTATGCCGTATTCTCCAGAATGCTCTGTTATATGGAGAATGTCCTGTTGACTTACTATACTCTGTTAAAAACATGGAATTTCCGCTACCCCGAAGGTACTGAGTTGAACTACCCATACATTTGTTAATTTGATTAAAATGGAGCTTTAGATGTCTTGTTCTATGTGCCGTAGAGACCTATTTAATTTCATAGGCCACCCAAATTGCCACTGAATTTCAATAGAAAATTTGGTTGAAGTCGCTGATTTTGTTTCTGTGAACTGAAAATTTGAATATTTTTTTTTTTTTTTGGCTAAAGCAACTGAATTTTCATATTCTTTATTTAGTGAGATCAGGGCAGGAAAAGTGCATTTGCAAAGCAGAGGTCAGGGCAGGCAGAGAGCATTCGTAGTCTGCGTGTACAGCAGAGATCAGGGCAGGCAGAAATCATTCGTAGTCTGCATGTACAGCAGAGATCAGGGCAGGCAGAGGGCATTCGTAGTCTGGGTGTACAGCAGAGATCAGGGCAGGCAGAGGGCATTTGTAGTCTGCGTGTACAGCAGAAATCAGGGCAGGCAGAAATCATTCGTAGTCTGCGTGTACAGCAGAGATCAGGGCAGGCAGAGGGCATTTGTAGTCTGCGTGTACAGCAGAGATCAGGGCAGGCAGAGAGTTTTTGTAGTCTGCGTGTAAAGCAGAGATCAGGGCAGGCTGACCGTGTGTGTAGGTGGCATGAAGAGATACTAAGAACGTGGTGTTGACTTCTAGACACAGTTTACATTTCATTTGAATTTGTAAAAGCTAAACCCACATGTTTAGCTTGTTTCCTGCAGAGGGAGCTCTTTACCCATGTATATGCTGGTGCTCTGCGCTCGCTGTTTAGTAAATATCAGAATATGTGTACGGATTAAACTGATCTATGCAGTGTTCTGTCATTGGTCATTCGAAGCCATTTACCATCAGAACACCGTGTCCCAGCCGAGGGACATTCTCTGACCAAATACATATTTCCCTTATTATTCAGTGTAACATCAGGCAGGTTTGGGATTGGAATCTTATTGCTGCTAAAATTGTTTTAAAACTACTTTTTTATTTTAATTCTTTCTTTTTTTTTTTTGTATTGACTTACAATAATGCAAATAATCATTAGCAGATACAGTCGATGAATAACAGAAACCGTTAATAGTTATCATATACATCTCTTTGTCATATAAAGCTTAGTTTAGTGATAAATGGACATCAAATGTGGTGCCTAATTTGTGTGTTTACTAAAAGGACCACTATAGTGCCAGGAAAACATACTCGTTTTCCTGGCACTATAGTTCCCTGAGGGTGCCCCCACCCTCAGGGTCCCCCTCCCGGCGGGCTGGATGGCGAGGAAAAGGGTTAAACTTATCTTTTTTCCAGTGCCGGGCGGGGAGCTCTCCTCCTCCTCTCCTACTCTTCGGCTGA